AAGAGCTCGCTGTTTACTGAACACCTCTCCTAGGTTATGATATTCAGTGGGAACAGATGACAGGTCAAGCGGCTCGATCTTGGGTGGTGGAGAGGCGGCCTCTGCTGGCGTTAGGGCAGACTGCAGGCATTGTGTTCTTAACCAGGGCTGGCCCAACACTACTAAACTCACGATGGTTTCCAGACAGAATGAGGTTTACTGGCTTGGTGCAATGAGTGACTTGGGCCAGGAACTTTCCATTTAGAGCATTAGCATTAAGAGGCGAATCTAACACTTCGCAGGGAATTCCTGCCTGAGCTGCAATGTCCAAAAAGTTCTCGTCCGTCCCCGAGTCCACTAAGGCGAGCAGGGGTAGGGACTGTTGGTTGCAGCAAAGCACGGCTTCTACAGTAGCTGCGTTCTGGGTCGGGGGTTGAGAGAGGAGGAAGGGCTCGCCAGAATCCCCACAGCTACTGACGAGCCTGACCTTTTGGCAGATTAGGACAGGAGGAAACAAGATGACTGGTTTGGCTGCAATAAACACATTCCCCAGCCTGGATCCTTCTAGCACGCTCAGATGGTGAGAGGCGGGCCCTTCCCACTTGCATGGGCTCATCTCCAGGGGGTGAGACCGAGTAAGGAGTCGGGAAGGATCTGGAAATTGGGGTAGTGGCAGTGCTAATTTGGGGATCAAGTGAGGAGTAGCTGGGATTGGGGGCACGGCAATTCCTATCCCTACGTCTCTCTCTGAGGCGATTATCAATCTTGATGGCTGTAGCAATTAAATTATCCAAGCTAACTGGATCATCCCTAGCAGCTAGCGCATCTTTAATTGCTTCGTTCAGCCCCATTTCGGAAATGAAAGTCTCATTCTTTCACACACACATACGGGTATTGGGCCGAGGGCTACACCGTACTTCCGGTATCTGCCATTTTACGCGAGGTGCAAGCAGGCCGAGGGTTTAGCCGTACACCGTCTAGGTGTTGCTAAGCTTCCTGTACTGAATATCATAGTCTATTGCCTTAATCAATATATAGTCAACTCTAAAATACCACATATATGCAATGGCATGATAATATTATTGTGACAAGTGGGGTATTCACCTGGTGTTTCCAGAAATTAGACGCCAAAATCGACGAAGGCCACTTTCGAGGGTCATTTTTCCATACATCTGCAGGGCAATCCGACAACCCACACAGCTCTAGTTCACGCTGGTAACGACCTAGAGCACACCCCTCAAGTCCAGAGATGTAATCCGAAGACATGCAGCGATTTCTTCATTCGTTAATTCAGAAAAAAAACCTAGTGCGCTCTTCCTGGCAACGTTAGCTAGCTGTTTATATTTGCACCTCCAGGATATTTGCACCTCCAGGAAAATGGCGTATTTATATATATATATATATATATGTATATATGCCGCGCGTTGCATTGTGGGTAGCTCGAGACGTCACTGTGTGAAAGAATATGACCAGCACATTTGTGGCTGGCTCTCCCTAACAGCTGTAGCCCAATCTAAAGCACTCCCCCTCAACAGACTCATTACATATGCTACCCTAGCCCCATCTGTATGATAACGTACACTGGAACAAAAAGGCTCTACAAATACCCAAATCTCCAGCGTATCGCTCCGGTGTGGGAATGACAGCCTCTCGTAGCTGATGGAGGGGTGCGGCAGGAGGGGCTGTCGGCTGTGCAGCGGGCTGCGGGGGAGAAGACTGTGAGGTGAGCAGTTCTACTTGCATGCCGATCCTTTGTGCGTTAGTGGAGAGGTTCCGGAGAGTCTCCACTACCTCACGGAGAACTGTATCGTGATGCCCCACGAGAGCGCCTTGATTGGCCAGGGCCTGGCTGAGTTCGTCCGCACTTGGACTGTTGGCCTGTGTCCGCTGGGTCCATACTGGCCAGATCGTTCTGTTACGTTATCCGATAGGACCCAAACGCAGGACACGGCAGAGTGTTGGACATTTTTTTTATTTGAGGTGGAGGAGCGTGGAGAGTAATCCGGCTGGAAATGGCGACTGGTGGCGGCTGGTGATGACAGCACGGCGGCCGGAGAGTGATCCTGGAGCACAAGAAGAACACGTAAGAAGAATATACTGTGTTGAGGAAAATAGCTAATAATACGAAGAAGGCTAAGAAGGCTGAGAGTTTTACCACTGTGGGATAAACAACGAACTGGCGCTGACAGGTTGTGGAGCCTCCGCTGATATGGCATTTGTAAATGCTGATGGGAATCAGGTGTGTAGTAGGGGAGGGTGCACAGCTGATTGCAGCAGGTGGAGGTTTGAGCCGGGAGCCAGGAGTGACAGCCACCACGCCCACACAGACACAGACAGGGAAAGGGAAAGGGAAAACAAACCCAAGGGAGGCGGCTGGAAGAGTACAGCCACCACATATACATATATATATATATACGTATACATATACACTTATAATTAATACAATTAATACAACTGTTCATTTGATTAGAGCTTTGACACATATATATTTATTGATATATGTATAAGTATGACGACTTCCCCGGGCGATATCATTTGGTATAGCGAATGAATCAAACTGCGTCAAAACGTGTTCTCATGCAAAGGTTGCACACTCTGCTTATCCCTGCGTGGTATTAATAGCAAACAGCTACGTTCAACTCCTTTAATGGTATATTGCAAGTGCAATAAGAAGCTACAGAGACGTTAATCTACGTCGGTACTATTAACTTTGTTTAATACAACATTTACGGTACAAGATTTACATCATACAGCCCATGTAGTATAATATTTTACAAATAATGAATTACAGCAAATGTAACGGGTCACAGCCGTAAGCGACCTGTTATCGATCAGGAAACGACAGCGAAGCATCTGGGTGTCTTTTCTGGCCTTTATTCTGAGAATGAACACAACATTCTCTTAACATCCGCGTTGCATGTCACATCTCTACAAAAACAGAAGACAGGAAACTCAGAAAAAGTGTTGCCATGGTAACAATCAAAATGGCGTGATCGTGTCTAAATCGCGCCAAAACTATGGTGATAATATCACTTAAAGTGCTATTTCCAAACAAAAACGTATTAATATTGTACCCACAGTGTTACTAAACAATATATAATCACTGTCATTAACTTAAATAGCACATTTAACATACACAATGATATACATTGCAAGAGGGCGGAAGTTACATAATTAGAAAATGATGTGCAACGGGAAAGTGTTCCCACTAGAAACATTACTCAAAAATATACAAAGGAAACATCTCATAAAAATAAAATTCACAACCTATTGTAAATCGTGATTTATAAACTAATAATTATTTATACACATTTTTAACTCCGTTACACAAACATGTGCAATATATCCATTATTACAGCTCCGTGGGCTGGCAGTAAGGCGATATGGTCCGTTCTTATTGTGCATCCATGGGTAAAGGGAAACGCATGAAGTACTGAACACGTAACTTGGACGTGCCGGGCAGCGCGTTCCCGTGGGTGAGATGCGCGTTCATAATGCCGAGGGAAATAACTCTCAGAATAACGTTATTAGCACATTTTACAACTTGAGGAACGAATGTTTTTAATAAGGGCTATACAAACGTTCATACTGGGTAGTTTAAAAAAATTATCCAACGAGTTACAGACCACTCTTTCGCCATGTAAGTCAATGGGAAAAAGTGTTGTACCGCCGTTTGGCCACAACGAATATTTTCCTCAGAGTCCGGCGCACTTCCTTGGGGCTTGGGCTGGACCTGTCCAATTCCAGTTTTGGAAAGTCTGCCGTGGCTCCATTCCATTTCAAAGAGCTGTTGACGCTCAGCGTAACCTTGCCGCACTGCCACTCCAACATCCAATCACAGGGCTTGATGACTAATCACGGGGTTTGTAAAGCAAGGCGGATGTTGTAGTCCCAAACGATAGCTGGGGATTCTGGGTAGTGTAGTGTCTTCGGAAACTCTGTAGTGTCTAAATTCCGAAAAAACTATTTGCTTCTCTGAATTGAAGGTTAAAAACACAAAAGCATTGTACACCATTTAAACCAATCAATATTGTGTAATTAACAAGGATAATCTGATGTTTTCTAGTGGATGAGTAATGCAGATATCACTGTGTAATCATTTGAAAGTGAGGGGAATACTTCCGGTTTTATTGTGAAAACTTCGAGACCGGAAAAACAGTTTTCACCCACGCTAACTTTACATGGAAGCTGCACACGTTATCCTGGCGAGACCTCAGATCATCTTCGTAATATCTATCAAACTATAGATCCTACACATCCACTGGACGTGGATTCTAAAAGTGCAATATACACTTCTCGCTAGAAATCTAATCAAAAAGCATTTTAATGGCCAAACTATTCCACAATTTAGAATTTTCCAGAGAGGGTTATTTGTGAATAAACGTCCCTCCGGAGCGTTTGCAATCAAGCATGTTGTTTCTTACACGACCACTAGAGGTGCTCTAGTGGTCGTGTAAGAAACAACATGCACTTTAAAAGGTGTCTCTGGGTCGTAATAAGGGCATGAACAATCGACCTATATGGATTTTTGTAGGAGGACAGGCTGCTCCTGAAGCGAACACCAACTGAGTCAATACACTAGTTGAATACATGTGTCTCATTATTATTGAATTGATATCAGATGCAAAAGAAAAAACACAAACACAATATTAGCCATTTTAAAACCAATATCAGTCCACCACTATTTATTTCTTCATCTCATTTCTCCATAAGAACATTGAATGAAAACCCATTAATTGTAATAAATACAGGTCTAATCTGTAAGAGACGGATAACCATGGCTCTACGCTCCACAGTGTGGAGTTACTAATGTAATAAACCCTCAGGAAGTCCAGAAGCATGTGATAAGGCGTTTCCACAGAGCGAGTGTAGCATGGTGTGTGTAGCATGGTGTGTGTAGCATGGTGAGTGCAGCATGGTGTGTGTGTAGCATGGTGTGTGTAGCATGGTGAGTGTAGCATGGTGTGTGTAGCATGGTGTGTGCAGCATGGTGTGTGTAGCATGGTGTGTGTAGCATGGTGTGTGTAGCATGGTGTGTGTAGCATGGTGTGTGCAGCATGGTGTGTGTAGCATGGTGTGTGTAGCATGGTGTGTGCAGCGTGTCTTCATGGAGAGAACGTAGCGATGACCCTCTGGATCCAGCCCACGTAGTTCCTCACTTTGGTGTAGACCCCGGGGAAGTAGGGGTTAGCGCAGCTGATTCCCCAGGACACAATGCCCTCCAGCTGCCCGTCACAGATCAGAGGCCCCCCGGAGTCCCCCTGAGGGCACAGAGAGACGCCTTCATGCTGCTGTGTACTTCTACTGCACTACAGAGGTCCATGGTGTACTTCTACTGCACTACAGAGGTCCATGGTGTACTTCTACTGCACTACAGAGGTACACGGTGTACTTCTCATGCACTACATAGGTACATGGTGTACTTCTACTGCACTACAGTTCAGAGGTACATGGTGTACTTCTACACCTCTACAGTTCAGAGGTACATGGTGTACTTCTACTCCTCTACAGTTCAGAGGCACATGCTGTACTTCTACTCCACTACCGTTTAGAGGTACATGGTGTACTTCTACACCTCTACAGTTCAGAGGTACATGGTGTACTTCTACTCCACTACAGTTCAGAGGTAAACTGTGTACTTCTACTGCACTACAGAGGTACTGTGTACTTCTACTCCACTGCAGTTCAGAGGTACATGGTGTATTTCTACTGCACTACAGTTCAGAGGTACATGGTGTACTTCTTCTCCTCTACAGTTCAGAGGTAAATGGTGTACTTCTACTGCTCTACAGTTCAGAGGTACATGGTGTACTTCTACCCCAGTACAGTTCAGAGGTACATGGTGTACTTCTTCTCCTCTACAGTTCAGAGGTACATGGTGTACTTCTACTCCACTACAGTTCAGAGGTACATGGTGTACTTCTACTCCTCTACAGTTCAGAGGTACATGGTGTACTTCTTCTCCTCTACAGTTCAGAGGTACATGGTGTACTTCTACTCCACTACAGTTCAGAGGTACATGGTGTACTTCTACTCCTCTACAGTTCAGAGGTACATGGTGTACTTCTACTCCTCTACAGTTCAGAGGTACATGGTGTACTTCTACTGCTCTACAGTTCAGAGGTACATGGTGTACTTCTACTCCTCTACAGTTCAGAGGTTCATGGTGTACTTCTACTCCACTACAGTTCAGAGGTACATGGTGTACTTCTACTCCACTACAGTTCAGAGGTACATGGTGTACCTTTAGTTACTTCACAGATGTGGATGAATGATGTGAAATCTAATCAAGTGTTGAATCAGACTTTAGTTCCACCTGGAGTAAATCCACCAGCTACCCTGCAGTATACAAAGCCATTCAAACTAGCTGCACCTTCACCAGCTTTGAGAACACTTTCATGATCAATCATTAGAAAACATATCATATATATTATTCTGAAATGGATCAATCTGCACAACGACTACTTTTACTGTCGCTACTTTCACTATATTTTGAAGATAATACTTTTCTACTTTCACTTGAGGAACATTTTGAATGCAGGATTTTTACTGTAACAGAGTATTCCTACACTCTGCTACTTCTACTTTTACTCAAGTACCATATCTGAGTACTTCTACTTTACTCAAGTACAAGATCTGAGTACTTCTACTTTTAATTTGATATTTAACGCATGCCTCTTCACTTTGGCTGTACTTTAGAGTAAACTGACTCTGGATTAGTCTGTTGCACTGGGTCAGCGCCATGCAGAGGTGGGAAGTAGTGGAGTACAAATACTCATTTACTGTACTTTAGTACATTTCTCTGGTATTAGTACTTTAATCCACTTCTTATTTTTTTTCTGACGACTTTTTACTTTGACTTCTTAAACTTCTTACATGTTGAACACAAATACCTGTACTTTCTACTTCTTACATTTTGAACTCAAATACCTATACTTTCTACTTCTTACATGTTGAACACAAATACCTGTACTTTCTACTTCTCACATGTTGAACTCAAATACCTGTACTTTCTACTTCTTACATTTTGAACTCAAATACCTGTACTTTCTACTTCTTACATGTTGAACACAAATACCTGTACTTTCTACTTCTTACATGTTGAACTCAAATACCTGTACTTTCTACTTCTTACATTTTGAACTCAAATACCTGTACTTTCTACTTCTTACATGTTGAACTCAAATACCTGTACTTTCTACTTCCTACATGTTGAACACAAATACCTGTACTTTCTACTTCTCACATGTTGAACACAAATACCTGTACTTTCTACTTCTTACATGTTGAACTCAAATACCTGTACTTTCTACTTCTTACATGTTGAACACAAATACCTGTACTTTCTACTTCTTACATGTTGAACTCAAATACCTGTACTTTCTACTTCTTACATGTTGAACTCAAATACCTGTACTTTCTACTTCTTACATGTTGAACACAAATACCTGTACTTTCTACTTCTTACATGTTGAACTCAAATACCTGTACTTTCTACTTCTTACATGTTGAACACAAATACCTGTACTTTCTACTTCTCACATGTTGAACACAAATACCTGTACTTTCTACTTCTTACATGTTGAACTCAAATACCTGTACTTTCTACTTCTTACATGTTGAACACAAATACCTGTACTTTCTACTTCTTACATGTTGAACTCAAATACCTGTACTTTCTACTTCTTACATGTTGAACTCAAATACCTGTACTTTCTACTTCTTACATGTTGAACTCAAATACCTGTACTTTCTACTTCTTACATGTTGAACACAAATACCTGTACTTTCTACTTCTTACATGTTGAACTCAAATACCTGTACTTTCTACTTCTTACATGTTGAACTCAAATACCTGTACTTTCTACTTCTTACATGTTGAACTCAAATACCTGTACTTTCTACTTCTTACATGTTGAACTCAAATACCTGTACTTTCTACTTCTTACATGTTGAACTCAAATACCTGTACTTCTACTTCTCACATGTTGAACACAAATACCTGTACTTTCTACTTCTTACATGTTGAACTCAAATACCTGTACTTTCTACTTCTTACATGTTGAACTCAAATACCTGTACTTTCTACTTCTTACATGTTGAACTCAAATACCTGTACTTTCTACTTCTTACATGTTGAACTCAAATACCTGTACTTTCTACTTCTCACATGTTGAACACAAATACCTGTACTTTCTACTTCTTACATGTTGAACTCAAATACCTGTACTTTCTACTTCTTACATGTTGAACACTAATACCTGTACTTTCTACTTCTTACATGTTGAACTCAAATACCTGTACTTTCTACTTCTTACATGTTGAACTCAAATACCTGTACTTTCTACTTCTCACATGTTGAACACTAATACCTGTACTTTCTACTTCTCACATGTTGAACACAAATACCTGTACTTTCTACTTCTTACATGTTGAACACTACTACCTACATGATATCCTATTGCAAAGACTAGAGCACTTAGTTGGCATACAGGGAACTGCTTTAGACTGGTTTAGGTCCTATCTATCTGAACGCTCTCAGTTTGTACGTGTCAATGATGAATCTTCCATGCAAACCAAAGTTAGCCATGGAGTGCCACAGGGCTCAGTGCTCGGACCTATTTTGTTCACATTATATATGCTTCCGTTAGGCAATATTATAAGGAATCATTCTGTACATTTTCATTGTTATGCGGATGATATTCAACTATATTTATCAATCAAGCCTGATGAAATTAATCATCTAAATAAAATTCAAGACTGCCTTAAGGACTTAAAAACGTGGATGACCTTAAACTTTTTGATGTTAAACACGACCAAAACTGAAGTTATTGTACTTGGCCCGAAGAATCTACGAAACAAATTATCTAAGGATATACTAACTATGGATGGCATTAATTTGGCCTCCAGTGAGACTGTAAGGAATCTTGGTGTTATATTTGATCAGGATTTATCCTTTAACGCCCACATAAAATCAATTTCAAGGACCGCCTACTTCAGCGCCTTTCCTCTCAAGGGCCATTTCAATTTTTTCAACATCCTCCGAGGGCCGTACAAATGATTGACCTCTGCTTAAAAAAACTAAAATCACAGCCCATTCATTTGGCCTTTCTTTCATGCTGTGCAAAGAAAAAGCAACCTCCAGATATCTTACCATGATGATGCATACACGTGCACGGTTGTGGCGTGACCACCAAAACAGAAAGATATGGACACAAGATGTGTGCAAATGTATTTAGTTTCCTATCCATGTGAACATGATTTAAGTGGTGGGGGGGACCTAACCTCCTCTAGGGGGGTCCGGGGGGTATGCTCCCCCGGGAAGATTATTTTTTAAATGTTGAATTTAAAAGCATCAATCTGGTGCACTTTGAGAGCAACATTAAGAGATCTCTGGATACATCTCAGACACCCAGATGAAACAGAATTTAGATTTACTTTTTCTTTATGGACATTTTACAAATCACTCTCCTTTCAAACTGTATTCTTGTTTATTAATAACAACTTTTTTTTTACTGTCATATAGTATTTTATACCTGTTTACTTTATTATCTTGTTTTTTGATAACTATAATGATCATATAAAGATGTGCCTTAACCTCACTGGTTGTAGAAAAAGCTTCTTATATCCGTTAGCATAGCTAGCTAACCAGATGCTAATAACAACAAAGTTATTGACTGTATGATCAGTATGACAGATGAACAGATCGCCACTGGGCTTTCAGCTAAAGACACAGCCACGCAGGAACTGCAGCATGTGTACGGCTCCTTATGGATACTGCAATTTGTGGAAGTGCAGGAGCGGCGTTCTGGTGCTCTCCGTCAGAACTGCACCCCTGTCAGACGAGACATATACCACGTGATGACACGTTGGGCTCGTGTTGTGTTCAAGGACCCTGACCTTGGCCAGGAAAAACAGGCACTCGCTTGTTTAATTTTTTTGCGGTCTAGATTTCTTTCATTTTTTTATTTTTTGCGTGTGTGTATAAATCACCTCGAGGGCCGTAAATGGTCTTGCGGGCCGTGGGCCGGAAGTTCCCCATCCCTGGCCTACTTCCATTTACGTAATATTGCAAAAATCAGGCATATCTTGCCTCAAAACGATGCAGAGAAACTAGTCCATGCATTTGTTACTTCAAGGCTGGATTATTGTAACTCTTTATTATCAGGGTGTACCAAGAAGTCAGTCAAGTCGCTTCAGCTGATTCAAAATGCTGCGGCTCGTGTACTAACCAGAGTTAGGAAAAGGGACCACATTACTCCTGTTCTGGCTGCCTTACACTGGCTCCCTATAGAACACGGATATAATTTAAAATTCTTCTTCTCGCCTACAAAGCCCTTAATGGGCAGGCGCCATCTTACCTTAAAGAACTCATTATACCCTACTGTCCTACTAGGGCATTGCGTTCCAAGAATGCAGGGTTGTTGGTTGTTCCTAGAGTCTCTAGAAGTACAATGGGAGCCAGAGCCTTTTCTTATCAAGCTCCACATTTGTGGAATCAGCTTCCAGTTTGTGTTCGGGCGGCAGACACCCTATCCGTTTTTAAGAGTGCGCTTAAGACCTTCCTTTTTGATAAAGCTTATAGTTAGGGCTGATTAGATTCAGCCCCTAGTTTTGCTGATATAGGCTTAGTTTGTCAGGGGACATCTTACTTCTTCCTTCTCTCTGTCTATACATGTGTACTCTCATGTTCCGATTAACCCAGCTTCCCCAAATGTCTTTCTTTTTGGTGTCTATATACGCCGGGATCTGGAGTCATGGATGATCCTGCACTCCTCTGTCCTGGATCGCGAGCCCTGGATCTTGAGTCGTGGCTGTGGTCCTGGATCATAGGTCCTGGATGGATATCCTCGTGGATTCATCTTCCTATTACACATGCATTTCCAAACATTTGGACTACCTATGTTGCAAATGTATTATCTTTTCAATTTACACACGGCATCTATTGCACGTCTGTCCGTCCTGGGAGAGGGATCCCTCCTCTGTTGCTCTCCCTGAGGTTTCTCCCATGTTCCCTTTAAACTGTGGGTTTTCTTTGGAAGTTTTTCCTTGTACGATGTGAGGGTCTGAGGACAGAGGGTCTAAGGACAGAGGGTCTAAGGACAGAGGGTCTAAGGACAGAGGGTCTGAGGACAGAGGGTCTAAGGACAGAGGGTGTCGTATTGTCATACTGATATTCTGTACAGACTGTGAAGTCCACTGAGACAAATGTAACATTTGTGATATTGGGATATAAATAAACATTGATTGATTGCTTGATAAAACAGCTGCTAGTTATGGGTCCTTTTTACTGAAGTACACTTCAAAGCCCTCTTTACTTTTACTTGAGTAAAGAAGTTTAGTCAGTACTTCTACTTTTACCAGAGTATTTTTAAACACGAGTATCTGTACTTCTACTTGAGTAAAGGATGTACTTTTGCCATCTCTGCGTCAGGGTCTTGATCCCCATGTCGGGTTCTGTTTTCCGTAACAAAGCCTCGCAGCAAATGGTCCCTTACTCACGTGATAAAGTGTGCTAGAAACAGAACGGTACCTGGCAGGAGTCCTTCCCGCCGTAGGGGGAGCCGGCACACAGCATGTTGTCGCTGATCCTCCCCCAGTAGTAATATCTGCAGTAATTGATCATCTGCACGTCCACAGAGCGCAGCACCGGAGACAGGGAGTAGCTGTAGATCTGCGTCACCCCCCAGCCGCTCACCGTGCACGAGCTGCCCGAGGGGTCCGAGGGGTCCGCCAGCACCGTCGGCTGGACGTAGGAGTTCAGCACCGCCTGCCGGCTCAGCTGGAACCAGGAGAGGAGGGTTATCTTAACATTTAGAGATCACACAGAGAATGCTGCTGCAGGCAGGAACCCACTCCTCACATCTGACAGGAGCCAGAGAGTGAGTGCACGTGACAGGAGCCAGTGCACGTGACAGGAGCCAGAGAGCTAGTGCACGTGACAGGAGCCAGAGAGCTAGTGCACGTGACAGGAGCCAGAGAGTTAGTGCACGTGACAGGAGCCAGAGAGCTAGTGCACGTGACAGGAGCCAGAGAGCTAGTGCACGTGACAGGAGCCAGAGAGTTAGTGCACGTGACAGGAGCCAGAGAGCTAGTGCACGTGACAGGAGCCAGAGAGCTAGTGCACGTGACAGGAGCCAGAGAGCTAGTGCACGTGACAGGAGCCAGAGAGCTAGTGCACGTGACAGGAGCCAGAGAGCTAGTGCACGTGACAGGAGACAGAGAGTTAGTGCACGTGACAGGAGCCAGAGAGTGAGTGCACGTGACAGGAGACAGAGAGTTAGTGCACGTGACAGGAGCCAGAGAGTGAGTGCACGTGACAGGAGACAGAGAGTTAGTGCACGTGACAGGAGCCAGAGAGTGAGTGCACGTGACAGGAGCCAGAGAGTGAGTGCACGTGACAGGAGCCAGTGCACGTGACAGGAGCCAGAGAGTGAGTGCACGTGACAGGAGACAGAGAGTTAGTGCACGTGACAGGAGCCAGAGAGTGAGTGCACGTGACAGGAGCCAGTGCACGTGACAGGAGCCAGAGAGCTAGTGCACGTGACAGGAGCCAGAGAGCTAGTGCACGTGACAGGAGCCAGAGAGCTAGTGTACGTGACAGGAGCCAGAGAGTGAGTGCAAGTGACAGGAGACAGAGAGTGAGTGCACGTGACAGGAGACAGAGAGTTAGTGCACGTGACAGGAGCCAGAGAGTGAGTGCACGTGACAGGAGCCAGAGAGTTAGTGCACGTGACAGGAGCCAGAGAGTGAGTGCACGTGACAGGAGCCAGAGAGCTAGTGCACGTGACAGGAGCCAGAGAGTGAGTGCAAGTGACAGGAGCCAGAGAGTTAGTGCACGTGACAGGAGACAGAGAGTGAGTGCACGTGACAGGAGACAGAGAGTTAGTGCACGTGACAGGAGCCAGAGAGTGAGTGCACGTGACAGGAGCCAGAGAGTTAGTGCACGTGACAGGAGCCAGAGAGTGAGTGCAAGTGACAGGAGCCAGAGAGTGAGTGCACGTGACAGGAGACAGAGAGTTAGTGCACGTGACAGGAGCCAGAGAGTGAGTGCACGTGACAGGAGACAGAGAGTGAGTGCACGTGACAGGAGACAGAGAGTTAGTGCACGTGACAGGAGCCAGAGAGTGAGTGCACGTGACAGGAGCCAGATAGTTAGTGCACGTGACAGGAGCCAGAGAGTGAGTGCACGTGACAGGAGACAGAGAGTTAGTGCACGTGACAGGAGCCAGAGAGTGAGTTCACGTGACAGGAGCCAGTGCACGTGACAGGAGCCAGAGAGCTAGTGCACGTGACAGGAGCCAGAGAGTTAGTGCACGTGACAGGAGCCAGTGCACGTGACAGGAGCCAGAGAGCTAGTGCACGTGACAGGAGCCAGAGAGTTAGTGCACGTGAGAGGAGCCAGAGAGTGAGTGCACGTGACAGGAGCCAGTGCACGTGACAGGAGCCAGAGAGTGAGTGCACGTGACAGGAGCCAGAGAGTTAGTGCACGTGACAGGAGCCAGAGAGTGAGTGCACGTGACAGGAGACAGAGAGTTAGTGCACGTGACAGGAGCCAGAGAGTGAGTGCACGTGACAGGAGCCAGAGAGCTAGTGCACGTGAGAGGAGCCAGAGAGCTAGTGCACGTGACAGGAGCCAGAGAGTTAGTGCACGTGACAGGAGCCAAAGAGTGAGTGCACGTGACAGGAGCCAGAGAGTTAGTGCACGTGACAGGAGCCAAATAGTTAGTGCACGTGACAGGAGCCAGAGAGTTAGTGCACGTGACAGGAGCCAGTGCACGTGACAGGAGCCAGAGAGTTAGTGCACGTGACAGGAGCCAGAGATTTAGTGCACGTAACAAGAGCCAGAGAGTGAGTGCACGTGACAGGAGCCAGAGAGTGAGTGCACGTGACAGGAGCCAGTGCACATGAAAGGAGCCAGAGAGCAGTGCACGTGACAGGAGCCAGAGAGTGAGTGCACGTGACAGGAGCAAGAGCACGTGACAGGAGCCAGAGAGTTAGTGCACGTGACAGGAGTCAGTGCACGTGACAGTAGCCAGAGAGCAGTGCACGTGACAGGAGCCAGAGAGTTAGTGCACGTGACAGGAGCCAGAGAGTGAGTGCACGTGACAGGAGCCAGTGCACGTGACAGGAGCCAGAGAGCTAGTGCACGTGACAGGAGCCAGAGAGTTAGTGCACGTGAGAGGAGCCAGAGAGTGAGTGCACGTGACAGGAGCCAGTGCACGTGACAGGAGCCAGAGAGTGAGTGCACGTGACAGGAGCCAGAGAGTTAGTGCACGTGACAGGAGCCAGAGAGTGAGTGCACGTGACAGGAGACAGAGAGTTAGTGCACGTGACAGGAGCCAGAGAGTGAGTGCACGTGACAGGAGCCAGAGAGCTAGTGCACGTGAGAGGAGCCAGAGAGCTAGTGCACGTGACAGGAGCCAGAGAGTTAGTGCACGTGACAGGAGCCAAAGAGTGAGTGCACGTGACAGGAGCCAGAGAGTTAGTGCACGTGACAGGAGCCAAATAGTTAGTGCACGTGACAGGAGCCAGAGAGTTAGTGCACGTGACAGGAGCCAGTGCACGTGACAGGAGCCAGAGAGTTAGTGCACGTGACAGGAGCCAGAGATTTAGTGCACGTAACAAGAGCCAGAGAGTGAGTGCACGTGACAGGAGCCAGAGAGTGAGTGCACGTGACAGGAGCCAGTGCACATGAAAGGAGCCAGAGAGCAGTGCACGTGACAGGAGCCAGAGAGTGAGTGCACGTGACAGGAGCAAGAGCACGTGACAGGAGCCAGAGAGTTAGTGCACGTGACAGGAGTCAGTGCACGTGACAGTAGCCAGAGAGCAGTGCACGTGACAGGAGCCAGAGAGTTAGTGCACGTGACAGGAGCCAGAGAGTGAGTGCACGTGACAGGAGCAAGAGCACGTGACAGGAGCCAGAGAGTTAGTGCACGTGACAGGAGTCAGTGCACGTGACAGTAGCCAGAGAGCAGTGCACGTGACAGGAGCCAGAGAGTTAGTGCACGTGACATGAGCCAGAGAGTATGGCAAATAGAAAGGGCCGTGCGTGTGACGGGTCAAAGGTTAGTGCATGGATAAAAATGAGATGTGCACGTGACAGGAGCCATGCATGTGACGGGCCAGAAAGTGCACGAGGGTGAGAGAGGCAGTGCACGTGACAGAAGCCAGATAATTAGTGCACGGAGAGAGGGGAGCCGTGCATGTGACAGTACGTTCCTTAAATCAGGTAATAGTTGTCAGTAGAGTGCGATAGGGTTAAACATTTGATCATGTCTTTGTGTTGTGGGCGAAGAGCTGGACTTTAGCGCCGCTCACCTTGAGCAGCATGATGTCGTTGTCGAACGTCCGGTAGTTGAATCCGTGGAGATGAATCTGCGAGACGTTAAAAACCTGCTCAAACCCTTCCACTGCGTTCAGGTTGTGTTCGCTCAGGACGACCTGGATCAGCCCGCTCCTGCACACACAGCAACTCACCTGATATTACCCAGGTCACTCTGATTCTACGTATCCTCCACAGCAGCTCTTCTGTCAGGAGAAAGAAAGCCTCTAAAGCAGGGGTGGCCAACCAGTCAGAGGTTAAGAGCCAAATGTGTTCTATGTTACTGCAAAGAGCCACATCAAACACACTGATACCGCTTGTTTCAGTTTTTTGTTTTCTGGAGACAAGATTTCAACCACGTCACTAATGCATCTTTGTGGCATTGATATATATATTTTAAATCCTCTGGAGCAGAGAGAGGAGCTGTGGATTATTGATTAATGCATCAGTGTTTCTTAGGGTCAAAAACACTAAACTCACAACTTAAAATGACATGGTGATATATGATATATATATGATATATGATATATGGTCATGGTGATATCTGTCGTTTGAATATTTGACCCGAAAGGTATCCTATTATACTATTTGTAACTCTCAGATATATATAAAGACATGTCTCTGAAGTGTCCTGCTCCAAACCCCAAACAGGTCCTTGTAGCCCCCCCCCCTCTCTTCCAGCTGTTACTAAGGACATGTCTCTGAAGTGTCCTGCTCCAAACCCCAAACAGATCCTTGTAGCCCCCCCCCTCTCTTCCAGCTGTTACTAAGGACATGTCTCTGAAGTGTCCTGCTCCAAACCCCAAACAGATCCTTGTAGCCCCCCCCTCTCTTCCAGCTGTTACTAAGGACATGTCTCTGAAGTGTCCTGCTCCAAACCCCAAACAGATCCTTGTAGCCCCCCCCCTCTCTTCCAGCTGTTACTAAGGACATGTCTCTGAAGTGTCCTGCTCCAAACCCCAAACAGATCCTTGTAGCCCCCCCCCTCTCTTCCAGCTGTTACTAAGGACATGTCTCTGAAGTGTCCTGCTCCAAACCCCAAACAGATCCTTGTAGCCCCCCCCCCTCTCTTCCAGCTGTTACTAAGGACATGTCTCTGAAGTGTCCTGCTCCAAACCCCAAACAGATCCTTGTAGCCCCCCCCCCTCTCTTCCAGCTGTTACTAAGGACATGTCTCTGAAGTGTCCTGCTCCAAACCCCAAACAGATCCTTGTAGCCCCCCCCCCTCTCTTCCAGCTGTTACTAAGGACATGTCTCTGAAGTGTCCTGCTCCAAACCCCAAACAGATCCTTGTAGCCCCCCCCCCTCTCTTCCAGCTGTTACTAAGGACATGTCTCTGAAGTGTCCTGCTCCAAACCCCAAACAGATCCTTGTAGCCCCCCCCCTCTCTTCCAGCTGTTACTAAGGACATGTCTCTGAAGTGTCCTGCTCCAAACCCCAAACAGATCCTTGTAGCCCCCCCCCCTCTCTTCCAGCTGTTACTAAGGACATGTCTCTGAAGTGTCCTGCTCCAAACCCCAAACAGGTCCTTGTAGCCCCCCCCCTCTCTTCCAGCTGTTACTAAGGACATGTCTCTGAAGTGTCCTGCTCCAAACCCCAAACAGAGTCCTTGTAGCCCCCCCCCCTCTCTTCCAGCTGTTACTAAGGACATGTCTCTGAAGTGTCCTGCTCCAAACCCCAAACAGGTCCTTGTAGCCCCCCCCCCTCTCTTCCAGCTGTTACTAAGGACATGTCTCTGAAGTGTCCTGCTCCAAACCCCAACAGATCCTTGTAGCCCCCCCCCCTCTCTTCCAGCTGTTACTAAGGACATGTCTCTGAAGTGTCCTGCTCCAAACCCCAAACAGGTCCTTGTAGCCCCCCCCTCTCTTCCAGCTGTTACTAAGGACATGTCTCTGAAGTGTCCTGCTCCAAACCCCAACAGGTCCTTGTAGCCCCCCCCCCCTCTCTTCCAGCTGTTACTAAGGACATGTCTCTGAAGTGTCCTGCTCCAAAACCCCAAACAGGTCCTTGTAGCCCCCCCCCCTCTCTTCCAGCTGTTACTAAGGACATGTCTCTGAAGTGTCCTGCTCCAAACCCCAAACAGGTCCTTGTAGCCCCCCCCCCTCTCTTCCAGCTGTTACTAAGGACATGTCTCTGAAGTGTCCTGCTCCTAACCCCAAACAGATCCTTGTAGCCCCCCCCCTCTCTTCCAGCTGTTACTAAGGACATGTCTCTGAAGTGTCCTGCTCCTAACCCCAAACAGATCCTTGTAGCCCCCCCCCCCCTCTCTTCCAGCTGTTACTAAGGACATGTCTCTGAAGTGTCCTGCTCCAAACCCCAAACAGATCCTTGTAGCCCCCCCCCCTCTCTTCCAGCTGTTACTAAGGACATGTCTCTGAAGTGTCCTGCTCCTAACCCCAAACAGATCCTTGTAGCCCCCCCCCCTCTCTTCCAGCTGTTACTAAGGACATGTCTCTGAAGTGTCCTGCTCCTAACCCCAAACAGATCCTTGTAGCCCCCCCCCCTCTCTTCCAGCTGTTACTAAGGACATGTCTCTGAAGTGTCCTGCTCCAAACCCCAAACAGATCCTTGTAGCCCCCCCCCCCTCTCTTCCAGCTGTTACTAAGGACATGTCTCTGAAGTGTCCTGCTCCAAACCCCAAACAGATCCTTGTAGCCCCCCCCCTCTCTTCCAGCTGTTACTAAGGACATGTCTCTGAAGTGTCCTGCTCCAAACCCCAAACAGATCCTTGTAGCCCCCCCCCCTCTCTCTTCCAGCTGTTACTAAGGACATGTCTCTGAAGTGTCCTGCTCCAAACCCCAAACAGGTCCTTGTAGCCCCCCCCCCTCTCTTCCAGCTGTTACTAAGGACATGTCTCTGAAGTGTCCTGCTCCAAACCCCAAACAGGTCCTTGTAGCCCCCCCCCCTCTCTTCCAGCTGTTACTAAGGACATGTCTCTGAAGTGTCCTGCTCCAAACCCCAAACAGGTCCTTGTAGCCCCCCCCCCTCTCTTCCAGCTGTTACTAAGGACATGTCTCTGAAGTGTCCTGCTCCAAACCCCAAACAGATCCTTGTAGCCCCCCCCCCTCTCTTCCAGCTGTTACTAAGGACATGTCTCTGAAGTGTCCTGCTCCAAACCCCAAACAGATCCTTGTAGCCCCCCCCCCTCTCTTCCAGCTGTTACTAAGGACATGACTCTGAAGTGTCCTGCTCCAAACCCCAAACAGGTCCTTGTAGCCCCCCCCCCCTCTCTTCCAGCTGTTACTAAGGACATGTCTCTGAAGTGTCCTGCTCCAAACCCCAAACAGGTCCTTGTAGCCCCCCCCCCTCTCTTCCAGCTGTTACTAAGGACATGTCTCTGAAGTGTCCTGCTCCAAACCCCAAACAGATCCTTGTAGCCCCCCCCCCCTCTCTTCCAGCTGTTACTAAGGACATGTCTCTGAAGTGTCCTGCTCCAAACCCCAAACAGGTCCTTGTAGCCCCCCCCCCCTCTCTTCCAGCTGTTACTAAGGACATGTCTCTGAAGTGTCCTGCTCCAAACCCCAAACAGATCCTTGTAGCCCCCCCCCCTCTCTTCCAGCTGTTACTAAGGACATGTCTCTGAAGTGTCCTGCTCCAAACCCCAAACAGATCCTTGTAGCCCCCCCCCCCTCTCTTCCAGCTGTTACTAAGGACATGTCTCTGAAGTGTCCTGCTCCAAACCCCAAACAGGTCCTTGTAGCCCCCCCCCCTCTCTTCCAGCTGTTACTAAGGACATGACTCTGAAGTGTCCTGCTCCAAACCCCAAACAGGTCCTTGTAGCCCCCCCCCCTCTCTTCCAGCTGTTACTAAGGACATGTCTCTGAAGTGTCCTGCTCCAAACCCCAAACAGGTCCTTGTAGCCCCCCCCCCTCTCTTCCAGCTGTTACTAAGGACATGACTCTGAAGTGTCCTGCTCCAAACCCCAAACAGATCCTTGTAGCCCCCCCCCCTCTCTTCCAGCTGTTACTAAGGACATGTCTCTGAAGTGTCCTGCTCCAAACCCCAAACAGATCCTTGTAGCCCCCCCCCCCTCTCTTCCAGCTGTTACTAAGGACATGTCTCTGAAGTGTCCTGCTCCAAACCCCAAACAGGATCCTTGTAGCCCCCCCCCCCTCTCTTCCAGCTGTTACTAAGGACATGTCTCTGAAGTGTCCTGCTCCAAACCCCAAACAGGTCCTTGTAGCCCCCCCCCCTCTCTTCCAGCTGTTACTAAGGACATGTCTCTGAAGTGTCCTGCTCCAAACCCCAAACAGATCCTTGTAGCCCCCCCCCTCTCTTCCAGCTGTTACTAAGGACATGTCTCTGAAGTGTCCTGCTCCAAACCCCAAACAGATCCTTGTAGCCCCCCCCCCTCTCTTCCAGCTGTTACTAAGGACATGTCTCTGAAGTGTCCTGCTCCAAACCCCAAACAGGTCCTTGTAGCCCCCCCCCCTCTCTTCCAGCTGTTACTAAGGACATGTCTCTGAAGTGTCCTGCTCCAAACCCCAAACAGGTCCTTGTAGCCCCCCCCCTCTCTTCCAGCTGTTACTAAGGACATGTCTCTGAAGTGTCCTGCTCCAAACCCCAAACAGATCCTTGTAGCCCCCCCCCTCTCTCTTCCAGCTGTTACTAAGGACATGTCTCTGAAGTGTCCTGCTCCAAACCCCAAACAGATCCTTGTAGCCCCCCCCCCTCTCTTCCAGCTGTTACTAAGGACATGTCTCTGAAGTGTCCTGCTCCAAACCCCAAACAGGTCCTTGTAGCCCCCCCCCCCTCTCTTCCAGCTGTTACTAAGGACATGTCTCTGAAGTGTCCTGCTCCAAACCCCAAACAGGTCCTTGTAGCCCCCCCCCCTCTCTTCCAGCTGTTACTAAGGACATGTCTCTGAAGTGTCCTGCTCCAAACCCCAAACAGATCCTTGTAGCCCCCCCCCCTCTCTTCCAGCTGTTACTAAGGACATGTCTCTGAAGTGTCCTGCTCCAAACCCCAATCAGATCCTTGTAGCCCCCCCCCCTCTCTTCCAGCTGTTACTAAGGACATGTCTCTGAAGTGTCCTGCTCCAAACCCCAAACAGATCCTTGTAGCCCCCCCCCCTCTCTTCCAGCTGTTACTAAGGACATGTCTCTGAAGTGTCCTGCTCCAAACCCCAAACAGGT